GGTGTTTTTACTACGCGTCAAAGGAAGGGATATTATATGTATGTATGTATTTATGTGTGTGTGTGTGTGTGTCTTCTCCTCGTTTTTTTTTTTGTTTTGGTTTTTGTTTTTTTCCTTTCCAAACACCACCACCACCACCACCGCAGCAGCAGCAGCAGCCAATATTTATTTATACACACATTGTATGTGAAGAATAAAAGAGACGGAGAGAAAAACGTTTCAAAGAGGTGGACTCACGGACGACGCACAACAACAACCCCCTTTTACTATAATCTCCTCTCAACTCACCATTCATGCATGCATGTTCCTCTACACAACTTATTGTGATGTACACTACAGGCCTCATGGACCTCGTGATATCATTTATTTAAGATCCACGCAGGTTAATATATATATATATGGATATATATATACCCTTGCGTCATCGAGGTGCGTCGCCATCTCCGGGCGGCAGCGAACAGCTCAGCAACTTTATCGCCAGCACCTCTGCCAGAGGGCACGACGAAGAGAGAATGCGCGCCCCCGGCTGAGGGCCTCGTTCCCGAGCCCCACAAGGAGATACCACGCAAAAGAAAGGTGGCGGTTTGGCTCGACACACACCCAGCAGCCCCCACACCTCGGAGGAGACGCATCAAGCACGCATTGCACACGCTTCCTCCCTCTCCACACCCACCACTTTTTTTTTTCTTTTTTTTGTTTTGTTTTTGATGTCTGTGTGTGGTGGTGTCTTAAACCCCTTTTTAGCCGTAGAATAATCTACTAAGCCGCTGGCCAAATCCTGCAGTTTATCGATAATAGAAACCAAAACAAGATGGGAATAACAATAATAAAAAAGGGATAAATGGAATAAAAGTATGGGATTCACCATATCCTCAATGAGTGTTTACACCAAGTAAGTGCACACGCATACATCATTTATATTTATATTTATATTTATATATATATACGTATCATCCGTCAGCGACAATCGTAGCCCGCTCACTCTGTTCGGATGGAGTACAATATATTTATTTATTTATTTATTTATATGTACGTATTTATCGCTTACCAAGTGGCAGACCCTGGGCTCCGCCAGCCACAAGGCCCCGCCGCGAGGTGGGAATCAAAAAGAGGGGGTGGTGGGAAAATAAGAAATAAAAAGTAAAGAAAAATCCGTCTTGTCGCTATCGGCTCCCTGGTTCCTTCAATCACCGCCTTCCAAAAATTCATAGGATGGAAAAGAATCGTGCAGAAACATCTCCACTTTATCAGGACATATTCATTTAGGTGACCAGCTTCCCCCGCTGGACATCCTTTTCACAAGATCCTAAAATACTTATTCCTTATTTAAGTAAGCATACTGTTGTCAGCACAGCCGGCGTTCGTCTCATCTTTTTTTCCCGTGCCGCTGCTGTGGTCCCTCGTATTTTTTTTTTTTTTGTTCCCGTTTCCTTTTTTGTTTGTTTGTTTGTTTTAAAATACATATATATATATATGCGTTCGTTTTTATTAGTTGGCAAAGGAGAAAAAAAAAAAAAAAAAAAAAAAAAGGCATAGGGACATCTTAACCTCCATTCCCCACTACAATTATTATCCCCTCTCTCTCTCTTTTAACTTTTTTTCAAAGCAGCATACACGGGAGGTGGAGAGGTGGTGGGGAAGATGACATTTCTCCCGCGATGCGCTTTTCAGATGTGAAGATATACGTAGAAAACATACGCCCCTCCCCATTATCCTCCTTTTCCTCCTTCCCGCTCTTTCTTCTGTGCCTCTCCCCTTTTGTGGCTATCGGCATGTGTGTCTTTCGTTCCTCTTTGGGAATTTCCTCGAAGTTTCCTCACCGCCGCTTCGAGGCGCATGTCAAAAAGGTCGGCAATGATCTCTTCGCTAAAGTACTCTTCCATGTGACGGCGCCCACGCTTGCCCACTCTTCGTGCGTGTTCGGGGTGGTCAACGACATATCGCATCAGTTCCGCCGTATCCTGAACACTGGGCAATGCCCACTTGTTGGCCCGAAACACACGATACCCCGCCCCGCTCGGCACCTCCTCCAGCCCGTCCACGCGAATACCGAAGGTGGCGTTGGGTGGCATGAAGGTGGTGGTGCCGCCCCAATTGGTGATGATCACAGGGATGCCCATCGCCATCGCCTCCGTCGCTGGCAGTCCCCACCCCTCCGCGCGTGTGGGAAACACAAAGGCATCGACGGAGCAATACAATTGCAGCAACGACTGCTCGCCCACGTACCCCAACCCGCTTAAAAAGACGATGTGCGGCATGTCTTCCATGGACGTGAATCCTGGCAGGTTTTTTTTCGACCAGTTCCCTATGAGCTCATTGATATTGTGGTTCCCGGCACCGCCGGAGTACAATTGGATCCACTTCACCTTTAAATAGAGGGAGACACTGTTGTGCAGCGGCGACGATGGTCCAAACGCCTTCCAATAGGCCTTCAACAGCACATCCCACCCTTTCCTCATTTCCCACTTCATGACGGACAAAAAACGAAAGCGGCGACGCAGATCCTCTGGGGAAAGTCCCGGCCTATTCGTGTAGGCCGTCGGTAGGGACAATGGAAACGACGGTGGTCGACAGTTCAGTGGGTTATACCTGTGTATATTGACCGACTCAGGGACGACATGAATCTTTTCAGCCGCGACGCCAGAACGGCGGTAGACTGTGCGAAAAAACTCGCCGGTTGCCCACACCTCATCCGCATAGCGGTGCATGCCATCCACCCAATCCCTTGGAATAAGTGAAAACTCACTGAGGCTCCTGCCAATGAAGTAGTCCATCTTGTGTGGCAATGAAGCATGTACGTCCTTGTAGCTGGGTGCGCGAAGATGCATAATGACAATTTTAGGGCGATTCTTGTACGCTATTTGCCACTTGACACTATTGGAAAAAGAAGTAAAAAAATTCTCCGCACGCAACTCGTCCGTGAGTTCCAGGGAAACCAACTCCGATCCCACTGCATCGGAGCAGAAGCCGCGGCACAATCCCCTCAAAAAGGACACAGCATACCGCTCCGTCAGCGGGCGCAAGTACCCAATGACCTCTCGCATCAGCCCACAACATGAACAGTTGTAGTCACGTGCAAAAAAGAGCAACGGCGACAGCGGCTTGTCAACGGTGTCTTCTTCCCCCCGCTTTCGGTATGGGGTGGCAAAGCGGCGGTTGTGTAGCCTCTGCAGAGTGTCAAAATGCTCCGCCCCCCAATTATCGGCAGCAGGAAAAGCTGGTTGCCTCAAAAGCTGAAGTAATGATGATGGTAGCGAAGTGCCTTCGTCAATGATGCCAAAGGCAGCGCTACTCCACACCTGCCATTCCTTGTATTCACGCTGTAGAAAAATGCTGTACTCCCATCCGGCAATGTCTGGCGCCCGGGACAAAGTCGTGTTTTCACTGAAGGAAAGGCTGTCAAACCCCTTGACAGCGTCAAATGCCTGGCGGTGAAAAAGTGTACAAAAGGGCGAGACGGCGTCAACCAACTCCGGTTCCAAAAGACGTTTATCGGTGGCGAAAATGCCGTTGTACCTTCGCAACAGGTACGGTAAAAGAAGTTCCAACCGCTTCAATGCAGCAAGGCCCACAAAGACACCCCGATCCGAAACCACATGAAGAGCGTCGGGAACCACTGCCTGACCTTTGTCGATCCCTTCCGTATTGGTACTTTTCTTCTCCAGAAGGGTGCATTGAACGGCCAACACCTTTCCACCGTTTCGCCTCGAAGGTAGGAAAAGTTTTTCCATAAAGTCATCGGATTTGGGACGCACAAAATCCGCAAGGAGAACAAAGTAATCGGTGCGCCGCACTGCCCTCAATGCCACCCGCACTGCCGCAAGGTCCATACCATAACTGTCACTTTCGACCTTCCCTGCACTTGCCGCAAAGAGTACGCGTGCCTCCATGACGCAGGGAGCCACGTTGTATTTTTCCCTAATTCCCCTCTTGGCGAGGTCGACGCTCCACAGATTCCATGAACCGCTGTCGCCGTGTGGTTGAATACTCACTGGGATGCCACCAGACCACGACGCATTGTCGGGCGGAGCATAAAAGAGCATCACAAGGGACACAAGGCTCATAGGCGACGATGATGTACACCACGCACGGCGGCTGAGCGCCTGCTTCAGTCGACTCCCCGCCAAATTTGCGGCTGAAAAAGATGCCGAAACACGCAGTTCCGTAATGACGACTGTCACGCTGCTTGTGTTCCCGCCAGGGATAAGAAAACCTCTATCGTCACGGATGGTCGCAAGTGCTCTCGGCGGTAGGATGCGCAGGAAGAGGTAGAGGCAAAACAGGAGCACAAGCAACGAAATGACGGCACGGTATTTTCGTCGGGTCCTTGCACGACCCCTCGCGCCACGAGAGCGGGAACGCGAATACCTCATTCTAAGCGAATTGCACAAATAACTATTTTTTACACACACTTCCCCTCCCCTCGACTCCCCTCGCCTCCCCTCCCTCCGCCCTTCTCAACGCCCCAACGACCCTTTTTTTGCAGGATGCGAGCGTGTGACGCTGTCCCTCTCTGCAGGAGCTGTGAAGCACAAAGCAAAGAAAAGATAATAAAAAAAAAAAAAAAAAAAGTAAGAGAGAGACAGAAAGAGAGACAACCGTAAAGACGCCACACATCCAAAACAAAATTGAACATAACTTCTGTCGTCTTGTCACAACGTTCCCGCCGTGTTGGTTCTGTCGCCTCCCTCCTCATGCAGTCCAGGCCGCGGATGGTGAAAATAAACCCTCATCCCTCACGAGGAGACTGAAAAGAAGAAGATGGTGAAAAAAAAAAGAGGGAGTAACAGTGGAGGGTACACGCGTATACAGTTACGCCGATGTGATCCATGCACACATCCATTTGGCGTCTGCAGTCTGTTGCAGCATCTTCTCTGTGTTGTGAAGCCACGCGTGTACCCGCTGCCGACCAAAACGCAGCGAAGCGAGAAGCGCCAACTGCTCGTTCGCGTCGGGTGGTGACGTGAAGACGGCGGCAGTGGCGATGCCAGAACTGCTGTCCGTCGTCGTGGTGGTGGCGGTGGTGCCAACGTTGTGGCGCGGCTCCACAGGCATCGGCGAATACGAAAAGCCCGTGTGTAGTAAATAAATATATTTATATATATGTGTGTGTGTGTGGGCAGCCTCCACTTCTCTTCCCTCAAGTCACGCGAAGAACAGGGCAGACTAATCCCGCCTCGCAGAACACACAAACACACAGAGAAAGAGAAAGAGAGAGAAAAATAAAATAAAAACAACACTCCAAGGACGCAAAGAAAAAAAAAAAAAACAGAAATGAAAGGCAATGTGGAGGTGCGGAGGCAAAGAATGCAGGCGAGCCCTAAAGACATGCATAAACTTGTATACGTGTCATGTCAACCACGTGCTCACTGGGATCGACAGAGGGGAAAACGGAGGGACGGAACAAAAAAAAAAAAAAAAAAAGAGAAGCATAAAGAAGACTGTAAAAATCGGACGGAATAAAATAATTTACCTTCTGACTGCGCGTTTGTTGCTGTTTTACCTGTTTTTGTTTTCTTTTTTTTTTTTTTTTTTTTTTGTGTGTGTGTTTATTTGAACTGACAAAACCAAACAACAACAATAATAATAATAATAATAATACGAAAAGAGAGTGTTTGCGGTGGCATAAAAACAACAACAACAACAACAATAATAAAAATAATAATAATAACAAAAAAGCCAAATGAATCGAAGGCGTTTGCGTTTCGTTGGCGACTAAGCGATAAGGCCAATGTCGTCAGCAGCGTTGTTTGTCGTATTGACAGCCTCGTGATTCGGTACGACGTACACCTCGCCAGCACGCATCTCCACCTTCACCGTCTCCTTCTCCCGCACACGGCCGTCCAGCAGCATCAGCGCAAGGCGGTTAAGCAGCACCGACTGCACGAGGCGTTTGAGAGGCCGGGCGCCGTACACCGCGCTGTAGCCATTCTCACCAAACCAGTCGTACACATCCGATGTCGTCTCCAGCGTGATATCCTGCTCTCGCAGCATCGCCCGCACCTGATCGAATAGCAGCTCCACAATCTTGCGTGTCTCCTTCCGCCCAAGACGGTTAAACATGATGATGTCATCCAGTCGATTGATAAACTCCGGTGTCATGCGCTGCTGCACCAGCCGCATCACTTCCGGTATCGCCTTTGAGGACGGAACTCCCTCCGGAAGAGCCGCGATGACTTCTGCGCCGATGTTTGAGGTGAGGATGATAATGGTGTTCTTGAAGTCAACGCGCCGGCCATGGCTGTCGGTGAGGTGCCCCTCGTCGAGCACTTGCAGGAGGATGTTGGACACGCTTGGGTGTGCCTTCTCAAACTCATCGAAGAGAACAATTTGGTACGGACGTCGCCGCACGGATTCCGTGAGTTCGCCACCCTCCTCGTACCCGACGTAACCTGGCGGAGCTCCAATGAGGCGGTGGACGGAGTGCCGCTCCATGTACTCGCTCATGTCAATGCGGCAAATGAAGGATTCATCGTCAAAGAGGAACTTCGCAAGTTGCTTGCACACCTCCGTCTTACCAACACCTGTGGGGCCCAGAAAAAGAAATGATCCAAGGGGTCGTTTGTGTGAATGCAGTGCGGCGCGGGAGATGCGAACGACGTTTGTGATAGATTCAATTGCCTCGTCTTGCCCAAGAATGCGACGGCGCAGCTCGGTATCCATGTGAATGAGTTTGTCGCGCTCTCCTGTCATGAGCTTCTGGACCGGGATGCCAGTGGCGCGGGCAATCACCTGCGCAATGTCGCTTGCCGTGACAGAGTCATGTGTGAGGAAGCTATCCGCCCTCGTTGCGAGCTTGTCCGCCTCGATCTCCTTCTTCAAC